CATCGGGGGCTCAGAGGCATGCGTAAAAACTTATTTATATCCACTGGCTGTCTTTACGATTTCAATTAAATGCCAAAGCACACAGCCATTATTGTTATTATTATTATTTTCGCAACACGGCGGGAAAGTTCCCACCAACCGAGCAACCAAACAACCAAAGCTTTTCCTCGATTGGGCAGGCGATTTGGGGGATTTCGAGTTTCTGATTTTGATTATCCGGTGGGTACAAGTATTCGTCCGTCATCGTCAAAAGGCGCCTCTTAATTGAACAACAACGGAAAATGCCAAACAAATGCCAACGCCCACCACAACAAATTGACAAGCAGCGTCTTTTGGCTTAAATGATCAATCGGCTGCACAAACAAAACTTCCCCAGACGATGCAGTTGCCGTTGGCTGTTGGATGTTGCTGTTGCTTTTGGTGTTGCATTAACAACTTCCCCATTGGCTTTGTATATGTTGCTGTGGTGCAGCAACAAGCAACATGACTTATGAGTTTGTGCATCAACACGGAATTCGAGTTGCTGCTGGTGATGTTGCTGCTTGTATTGCTGCTGCATCGCGTAATGAAAACGAAAGTAACTCGCACTCACATACAGACAGACACTCACTTGAGCACCGGATCGGGCAGCCACACGCCACATCATTCACTCTCTCAACTGGGGGGCTGACCGGAATTATGCGCATATTTTAAACTAATCGCAATTAAACTAATCACTTGACATCTTACATTGAAACAGGCGTTGAATAGCTGCCCACTAATTACTCACTTAAATGGCACACATACATAACCGGCATGGAGTAGGGAAAAAATGCACTCCAAATGCCGCAATGACACAAAGTGGCATTCGGACGGCAATTAATGGGTAGCAGAACAGATCGAATCGAGTTCTATATGTAACATACGAGGCGATCCAATGTTTTGCGACCTATGCAGCCGTTCGCATTTAAATTAGATTAGATAATTGGTGGAATCGTTCGAGCGGCGTCACGAATGTGAGATCAAATGGCAGCGCCTCTCTTATCTAACTATCTAGTATAATATATCATATATCGTTTACGGCCACCGAGCTTATTCTAATGTCGAATCGAAATCGAATTCACAGACATCAAAAGCTCTCTCACAGCGGAATCGCCTTATAAGCATGCCAAAACGAAAATAGAAGTAAATAAATAATTATGGTAATGACCCACTTGTATGACTTAATTTTGCAATTACCACAGTTTTACATTTACTTGGCAGTTACAATGCCCTGCTCGCATGCAATCAGCACTTGTTTTTGATATGGGGCTCATTTGGCATGCATTCAGAGGATAGTAATCAAAAATTGCAAAATAACTTAGGGAAGTTTTCCAGCTCTTAAGTGCTAAACTCAAATTTAACAAACAAAACGCTCTTTTATCTCATTCTATAGCATTTGTAAATATAACATGATAAATAAATTATGGTAATCGCTAGCGCTTTGAGCGTATAATCTATTTTTAGTACGATAGTAACAGGTTCTGTTTTAAATTTTCTTTATATTTGACGTCTATCACGTAGGCTCAAGAATTTATTCAACGATCAACTCAGGTTTAAACATTAATCAATAACCTAAAAGTATAACGTTTTAAGATCAATGATAAGGCATTGAAGGCGTGAAAAGTTTAATTTTAATCAGGAAATAAATATCAAAACAAAGTAATATCTCAGCGTTCATCACTTTATACACCGATGAATATGCAAATAAACTTGAGATGATGAAATCTTCAGGGGTATTCAAAGCCCAACCAAACATTAAGCCGAATTCATTGCCCGAATGAAGCGAAATAATCACTATTTGCTGCCTAATTTATGCTCTTGTATTGCCACTTTCCATGGTAAATGATTTCCGTGGGTTGAGCCGGGCCAACTTACCCTTTTTTTCACCATCACCAACTCAGCTGGCCATCATCTATGCGGGTTTTGATTGCCCCCCAACGTCCCGCTGCCTTTTCACTTTCGTTGGCTTCGCTTTTGTTGTTGTTACTCGAGCGGGGGCATGCCACATCGCAGTCGACGGCGACGTCAACGTCAACGCCGCTGCCATCGAAACGGTAAATGTTTGCTGGCAAACCCGAGCAGAGCACAGTTGCATTTTGGCGCTCGTCCCCAGCGATTCGCACTCGCACATCTGGCGCCAAAACCAAAAAGCCAAAAGCCTGAAAAGCCCGAATCAAAAGCCGTCAAAACACCAAACTACGCTAAACGTCGCGCATGCGCACACGCGCGCCCAACGAAATCGAAAACGAAAAGCAGTCAAAGTGACCGTTATTAACGTGAACCCCCCTCCAGCATCTAAAGTTGTTATATAATCGAGAGTGGAAACTGGAGAACCGGGCTTCTGGCCACAAAAATAAAAACCCACCAAACCTCCAGCTTCTGCGTACAATTCGCCATGTCGTCGCCGCCCAACCAGCGGACTAATTAATGCGCGCTCGTGGAAAGAAAAGCAAAGCGGAGCTGGAAGACCTCGTAAATTATAATACTTAAGGCCGGAAAAAAGCGCTGGGGCCTCGAGACGCGATCCGCCTTCGTTCCCAGTTCCCAGTTGCCGTTCCGATCCCCAAAACAGTCCCACCGGAAAGCAAAAAAAAAACCCTCTACCGCCCATTTGACTGGCAGCGTGAAAGTGAAAAGCATCTGGTCATCGGCAGCAGGACAAAGCTAGAGCCACAGATACAGATACTATATAGAGATACGATCCGTAAACGGCCTCTGTGGGTCAGTCATGCGCGCGATGAGCAGCTGAGCTGCGCCAGCTGCCCGAGGAGCGGCCACCAAGATGATGAAGCCATCACAATCACAATCACAATCGCAGTCACAGTCAGAGTCACGGCCACAGTCGCGGTCACACTGGCAGTGCCACTGGCAGATCCCAGTGGCAAACACCGCGACCTTGAGGTGGCTGTGTCTCCTGCTGCTGTTGCCCTCTTCCAGGCAGTTCGAGACGGGTAGGTTCAAAACCATGGGATAATACGAGACATAATAAATACATACATCTGTTACAATGTTGGCAAAAAAGAATGTTAAAAAACGATCTATTTAAGTAGGAAATATCTAAAATACTTTTATGACAATCTAATCCAATAACTTTTTTACATCTGGGATTATACTTTTTAAATCTTAACAAATTAAAAAAAAATTATTTACATAAAACACCATTTTTAAATTAGTTTTTACCAAGAAGCCTTATCTTGCTAATAAGTGTCATTAAAGCATACATACGAACCACTTTAATTGATCGCTTTAGTTTTATTCCCGCGTTTATAGATAAATAAACTCGTAAACAAATCACAAATAATAAAGAAGATTGATCGATGGCAATTGGTATCTCAACACTTAAATTAAATTACTACCATAAAAGTTGGCGAAAATATGAAACGAATATTATTAATCACGTTTTTAAAGCTTGAACTTCAAACAAAAATGTAAATTAGTAGTTTCCGCGGGATTATATGTAGCTAAAATTATTATAATTTAAAAATTAAGTTTACATACTGTGAATAATCGTTAAGACTAACATTCTGTGAATAATCATTAAAAATAACATGCTGTGAAAAAGCATTTAAATTAAATGGCTTACATTATACGCAACCGAATATACTTTGCAGACTGCGGCTGTCGCCCGTCACGTCGAGGACCGCGGATAATTGCCGGAGCTGCCACGAACGAGGGTCAGTTTCCCTGGCAGGCCTCCCTGGAGCTACTGCATCCGTCGCTCGGATTCCTGGGCCACTGGTGCGGGGCGGTGCTGATCCACCAGTATTGGATACTCTCCGCCGCCCACTGCGTTCACAAGTGAGTTTATAAACCGCAACTCTGAAACCCGGATTTTAATATGTGAAATACCTTACCTTAGCGATCTCTTTAACCTTCCCATTCCACCGCTGTGGACGGTGGTACTGGGCGAACACGATCGCGATGTGGAATCGGGCAACGAGCAGCGCATTCCCGTCGAGAAGATCGTGATGCACCACCGTTACCACAACTTCCGGCACGACGTGGTGCTGATGAAGCTCTCCAAGCCGGCGGATCTCGAAAGGGCCTCCAATATCCGACGCATCTGCCTGCCCTTCCTTCTAGCCGAATCCCCGGATCCTGACCCTGCGGAAACAGTGTCCCCATCTCAATCGGCCGACGAGGATGTGCTCATCCAACAGCTGGATCTGGAGGATGTGCCCGAGAAGATCGACAACTTCCTGCGCAGCATTCAGAGCCGTCGGCGCTACCGGAATGTCACGGCTCCCAGCATGAAGGAGCTGATGAACATGAAGATCCTGAGCAGGATGCGTCAGGCTCTGGCTCAACGCTCCCCGCGCACTTTGAAACGCTCGCGAAGACGCAACGACAAGCTCATGAAGCTGGGTCCACGGAGAGGGGGTTTTGAGGATTCTGCAGAGCAGAAATACCTCAAGGCCAGTGAGGTCAGTGAGCCAAAGGAAATGGCCTTTGTGGACTGCGTGGCCACGGGCTGGGGCAAGGCCAATATCAGTGGTGATCTCTCAAATCAGCTGCTGAAAACCCAGGTGCCACTGCATCAGAATGGCAGGTGAGTCAACTTTAGGTGGCCCCTTACCCAAGTTAATTGAAATTCAATACTCTATGAAACCGGAATGATGTGTTGGCAGAGCGCCGGCAGAGATAATTTGTATCCCATGTCCCAGTCTAAACTGACGAAAGTAACTGATCTTAACTCTTTTCAGGTGCAAGGACGCCTACGGCAGTTTTGTAAACATCCATGGCGGTCACCTGTGCGCCGGCAAGCTGAACGGCGAAGGCGGCACCTGCGTAGGCGACTCTGGTGGACCACTGCAGTGCCGATTGAGCCGCGACGGACCCTGGATCCTGGTGGGGGTCACCTCCTTTGGCTCCGGCTGTGCCCTGGAAGGCTTTCCGGATGTCTACACCCGCACCTCTTACTACATGAAGTGGATCGAGGACACGATCGCCGCCCACTGAATCAAGGATCAGCACAAGGATTAGATAGCTATCGACCTGTATTTATCGAGTGCAAGCTCAGCTGTACATTGCTTACTGTTACCACTCTAACTTTAGCCCTAGCTTATAGTTATTGTTAACTAGTACGTAGGCAAGGACGTTCCCTAAGTTGTTTCCGATGAGCACAATAATTTACACCGAATCTTAAGCCTAAATATCACAGTGTTGCCCCTTCTTGAGTTGAGGTAAGCATTCCGATCCTGGGTTACGCCTTGGCCAACTTAGGAATGATGGTGCCGCCGCCGAAGAGCAGATTGAGCTGCTCCTCCGGATCCAGCTGAAGGGAGGATTTCCTCAGCCCAGTGGCCAAACTAAGTCCAGCATTGATCACCTGAATCGCCGTGCCCCGCTCAATCTGGTCGACCTTCTGGAACTGCTTGGTTGGTGGCCAAATGCAGAGCATCAGGGCGCTGCACAGCTGGTAAACGCCGGCCAGCAGCATTCCCAAGGCAGCGCTCCACTGCAGCAGCGGGAAGCCCCACTTGATGCCATGGATGAGCAGGCGCAGGCTCAGGCACAGGACATCGATGTTCAGGTCCACCCAGAGCAGGGGCAGGACCATGTTCTCGAAGGGCGACATCATCCGGTTGAAGTTCACCTTGCCCACCACCTGGTTGGCTTGCAACCGCAGGTGAGTGCCCTGCATCGGAGCTCCCAGTTGCTGGAATTGAATAGGTATCATAAGATTGGCCAATTTGGGTTACTTTCTATATAACGTACCGGTTGCACGACGAAGGTAGATGTGAAACGCGCTTCATCGGGCTGAAGGCCTTCGAATGGCTCCAGTAGACTGGGATCGGCATGCATGAAATGCGGATACGTAATCGCTAGAGGAATGTCTGGAAAAGTGATAGGAGTCTAGCTTATTAAGATGTTTCTATTATTATTGGGTCATTAGAACTCACTGTAGTAACAGGGTGACACGCTTCCCACTCCCTTCTTAAGGCAACGGTTGTTTTTGCAGTAGCACGAGGAGTTGGTGTTGTCCACGTCGCTATCGAAGGAGTCCGGCTCCATCACGAACTCGTAGGCATCGAGACCATTGTACCTGGTGGTGCGATTGAACTTCACGGGGAGTCGACGGCAGAAGGTTCGCCTGTACAGGAAGAACACGTCGTTCTCATCCATGTCCAGCGGGAAGAGAGTGGCATCATGGCTGCCCCAGATGCGATTGCACATGGTTCCACTGGAGGAGTAACGGAAATGTTAATCTTCTACTTTGAAAAATGTTTCCTACAATACTAACTTGGTCTCCTGGTTGTAGTCCCAACCCTTGAATCCACGTTCTCCATTAACGCTGTCCACGGTGTAGCCTCGGGGAGCATCAGTTACCCTCACTCCATACTTGTCCTTGGGCTCCGGCAGGTTCATGTTGAACACATTGCTCTCATTTCCCTCCCGGAAGAGCTAAAAATTAAACGAAATGTCCATTGAAATAGGTTTCCTACTTACACCTTTATATGAGAGATGCCTTACCTTCTCCATTATGCCGAAGCTCTTGAAGTCAATCCAGTTGGGCACGAACCGAGATGCCAGTTCCACCAGGTGATCCTCGTAGCCCCACATGTAGTCGTGGACACTCATCTCCAGCATGGGCTGCGAGTCCAGCTGCCTGGTAATGGCACTGAGTCCCAAAGCGGCGAACATCGATAGACTGGAGGCCAGTGTGGTCACTCCCATCAGCGGAATGTTAGGTGCCCGGATGCGGTCGACCTTGGGATCGCCCACAGATCGTTCCGGTGCAAAGACATACTCCCGTTTTGGTACAAAAGTGATGGTATTGTTGGGCTCGTTGTAGGTGACGTTGTGGTTGCTCAAAACCTCCTTGTAAACGTAAGGTCCCACTTCCTGGAGCTGCAACTTGGATGCCCTGCCCGCCGTGAACTCATCGACATTGGTGTAGTTGAACATGTACACATTAATATACACATCCAGCGGTGGCGATAGCCACAGTCGGTGGAGCAGGGCGCCCGGTTTTAAGCTCAATTGCTGCAAGAAAAATATTACAAAAATTTAGTTTTATATCTCTACCTGTTCGTACAGAATCACTGATCTTGCAGAACTAACTTTATTTTGATTGAATAACAAAGGTTGACCTACAGAAATATCTTTTGTTTAATTTGTATAGCGTGTGCTTGAACAATAAATGGGTTTGGATTGTCCATGAACACCATTTGATATTGATAGAATACTGAGCAAAGTATTAACTTAGCATTTTTAAGTAGTTTACATTTTTGATTATAAAGGAAATATTTACAAGATAATTTGTTAAGAAACTGAAAAGCTTCTAAGCTATTTAAAATAGTGGGTCTGTAACATTTGTATCTACTAAGTATCGGTACACTTGGAATACATTTATTCTTAATGCGAATATTCAGATAGCTCGACAAAATACACAGATGACACAGTAATTAAGTGATTAAAGTTACTAATTGATATGACTATAAATCATATTTATTATCGGAAATCGCTGTAGTATTTTAGTTGTTTAGTCTTACCGCGTCCAGGATGCTTTGGAGTGGGTCCGCGATGAGGACCAGTGACCCGAAGAACAGCAGGGTCATCCCGAGGGCAGCGCTGCGCAGCAGCTCTGCAATAAAATAGATCACCGGGTGAGTTATGGTCATGCGAGCGCCGTCAGCTGAAGTTGAACTGGTTTGGCTCCAGTTCCAGTTTGTCGATAGCGTGCGCCCCCCATCATGCCATTGACCTTGGTGGCGGATCCGATCCGAGATGCAATCGGACCGAGATCTGCGACCTACCTCAATGGCAGGAGCAGGAAGGGAATAGCAGCTCCAGGCCAAAATTTAATAAACAAAACGATGACAACCGGCAGACGACACAGCCGGCAGAAGATGACGATGCCCAAAAACGGTGGCGGTTCAATGAACGTTCTTCGATTTTATAATCGCAAAAGCGGGGGAAGGTGATACCTGCACTCAAAAAAAATACAAAAAAGCTAAAAATCCCATAATTCTAGTTTACTGCCCTTGCGATCTCAGACATTTTTTCCGGCAATTTTAATATATTGTCTAAATTTAAAAGCCATATTACTCGTTTATAGACGGCACTGCCAACTGGTTTTAGCAAAATCGCCGACTTTTAACCATAAAGATAAACAAAAAGTATTTGTTTTTTTTTTATGGTTACACCTTAAATTTAGGAATAGTTTATTTTCCCACTGTCACTGCCTTGTTTGATTTGTTTCTTGTTAAAGCAGGGGAATATGCTAGGTTGAAAAGTGAATTGCGACTGATTGTGTGTTTTGTTTACACCAATTGGATAAGTTTGCCGCTCCTAGAAAAGTCGTAAAAATCCAGTTTCACTGACCTTGTTTGGAATATTAATTAAAAGTACGGAAGATGGGCAAGGCAATCGAAGCATATCAATCTAGGCTGCACTTCTACTCATATTTACTTGAAGTGAAATCACTCACTTTACGACCGAAACTCGTTTGTTCTCACCTTCCGCGAAGATTATTGTCTTTGCCCAGGTGAAATTCACTTCCGCACTCGAAATCTGCCCGGAAATTGGTGAGAAGTCGACGAATCCAGAGCGTGGTCGCACCCAAAATTCTCCTTTGACCGATTTTCAGCGATCATGGCCGCACCACGAAGATCACGTTCAGTTGGGGGCGACCCATAAATCAAACGCACAATCTGGGCTCACTTATCGGTACATAAATCGTTTAGCGAATTCTCGCAATAAAAACAAAAGCAGAAAAATCCCCAATTGTTTGCCCAAATAACAGGCGTTTCTATGGAAATAGAAACCGAAAGCGGCGACCGATAGATACAGATACACCTGCCAAGATCAATGAACTGACTAGATACCTAGGTGGCTAGCACGCCCCTAGCTCGCTCCAAAATGGCACGATCCCACAGCATCTGCGATCTGCGGCCGAGATCGAATAGCAAACAGCATAAACTCATTAACCATTTCGCTTCGGTGTCAACTTTGGTGTCATAAATAGGTTCAAGACTTCACAATCAAAACAAATAGCGATGATACATGACAAATTATGCATGGCGCCGATGAAACCAGAAATCCAAGCATATATTCCATTGATAGGAATTACGAGTGTGCACGGGGAAAAATTTTCTTTAAAATAAATTGGTCTGAAGTGGCAATATCTATTAGTTAGGTTAGAATGGATTTTGATCTTTAAAAAATATTTATATTTTAGTAAATTAAATTTTTGAATATAATTTTTCTTTTTCTTCATTTGGTTATAAAAAATAAATTTGTAAATTGGTCGTTCTTGTTAAATTAGAAAGTATTACCTTTTCTGGACTACAAAATAATGGCCTCTATTAACATTAATTGATTAATATTTCCCCATGATATTATTTATGCAACTATACCTACGATAGCTCTAAGTTCTTACAATGTTCTCTATCTTTATGTTTTTAATTCTTAGATAAATTTATAAAAATTCTATATTCTTTTTAATTATTCTAAATGTTCATAAATAATATGTGCCTTAATATCTTAAGGGTTTAAAAAATTTGAGAAAATACCTTTAACGTATAAAGTTAAGAACTCCTAGTACCCAAAATGTTCAATATATATGTAATTTTTTCCCGTGTAATCTTAGATGCTTATGCTTATCCTTGCCTTGAGTGTGACAGCCGAAATTCCCGAACTTTGGGCCCACCCATAAATTAGGCCGCACACAAAGCGCTCCGAAATTATTCTGCTGCAATGGAATGACCAATGCCAAAATCCACACGCAGAGTGGCAAAACCACACGAAAATCTCCGCGGGCTGGCAAAAAGTGGAGCTTGAATCGAATTGCGCAACAATTGCACCGGCGAAGTAAAGTCCGCTTGACGTCGATAGAAAGATTGGCGGGCCGAAAAAAAAACACACACACAAGATACTGAGACAAGACACGGCATCATGAATGAAAGACGCTTGTCTCGATCGCAGCAGCTGATTCAGTGAGCTGTGAACTTGTTTGCGACGGCAAAACAGCAAACAGCAAACAGCGAAACAGCCAAGCAGTAGCTCAATATCAGGCGGGATCGGATCGGATATATCAGTTACTAAGTATGAGCTTGACGGCTGACGACCGACGACTGCCTCTGCAACGGTCTGAAGTTCAAGTTCGGTGCAATTCGCCGGCAAGCATTAAAAACCTGAAAATTAACCCAGCTCGACTCCAAGTGCACGGTTTGCTGGTGCTAAAAAAAAATTAAATATAAATATTTTTTGACCAGTCAAAGTGGTGACCCACTGAAGTCAAGAATGAATTTGTTTTGTTTCTGACGGAACACCTTCGTCGGCTGACAGGTGTGTGTGCGACTTCCGTCAAACGACAATAAATTAGGCAAATAGCCATAACTACAGTTCCATAGCTCTACAGCTCTATAGCTACAGCTCGGCGATGAGATTCGCACTCGGTTATCCACAAGATAGTGATACTAATACTAATGCTCTCTCGCTCCGAACATTTCGTGTTTTAAGCAGCATGTGCCGATCGCCTAATAGTTATCGCTGTTATGACGATGTTTGTGTTTGCCTGTGTTTGGCTAGTGATTAATCCCAGATCCGTTGCTATTTGCTTTTAATCATCACCAAAAACCCGAACCAAAAAAAACCCAAAACCCTTAAATAGTCGCAGTCTCAAAGTCTCGCGGCAATTAGATGCCCGCCAATAAGGAAAAGTAAATATGTCGCTCGCCAAGTTTACAACTTCCCCGATTCGCAGGCTAAATGATGCTCATAACGATGATGCTGATCCGATTTGTGTTCGCCTTTGAAACGGATACTTTACGCTGGCGATGATATTGTTATTGCTAATGCCCGGACAATAGCTGTTATTTGCATTGTTTAGCGGGCATTGAGCTGTAGATCGTATTGATTTATGGCGCACTCGCACTGCGGCAAATTAGTTGGATCGTATCGTTCTCGGTATCGGTATCGGTAAGGTATAGGTAATCTCTGCAAGTCACGCCTCCAATTCCGATTCCGATTTGGGGGATCTGTCAGCATCTTGTCAAGCTATATCTCTACATATATCATGGTGCCAATCTGACCCGGGCTGGGCAATCATCGCGTTCACCTTCAGTTTTCCCAGCGCATTTATGCTGATTGAAATCATCGAACTTCATGGTAAGGTAATACGTGACATTTTCAGTCACAACCGATTTCATTTCAAATCTTAATTTATGCAAACTTAATTGCACTACCAGGTCCAGATCCGTTAATACACATATATGCACACACGTGCGCTTCCGAATGACTTGGCCAAAACTGGAGATCTGGAGATCTACATACATATGTCGTTTGTACAATCCAATGTACAAACACAAGCTACTTACAAGTAGTAATCTTAAGTGACCCTACACAAGTGACCTACAATGTATAGAACCCTACGCCCTTGGCGGCTCATTCGTTGTTATGCAAATCGACCGATCAGATCCGATGTCTTGCCCCTTTTTTTATACGGCTTTGAACATATGTTAACTGCTTTGGCCAAGAGCCGAGATGTTGACAAAAAAAATAAAAAAGGAAGACCACACTAGAAAGCACTAATTAAATTTGGTTTCCAACTTGGATCGTTATATGTCTAGTCGTTATAATAGCTGTCGTGCTGCCTAAAACATTTTTGGACTTCAGAACCCAGTTCCGCGAACAGGTCTGCTATTTTTGGTCCAGGTATTTTGTGCAATAAATTAAAAAACTCAATATTCACGCGTGCCACCAGCTGTTAGTAATTCGATAATTAGCATTCTAATTTCGAAACCGTTTTATATCAGCATGCACGAGCGTTTAAAACTCCATTGCACCATTTTCACTACATTTCAGCGGGTCTAGCATTTTAGTTCGGTTTTTGGCGATTTTAGCAGTTTGTGCAAGAGATCTTTGTTGACATTTTTACGATCGCGTGGGGGCTGAAAAGCTCCCTTGGCTGAAAACGGCGGTTCCGAACAAACTTTTTATGGGCCTTTGGCTTTGACCAATGCGGACAATGGTCTCCGTCTCCGGTTGGCTTAATTAAGCACTGGCCACTTTGGCATTTTTGGACTGGGCTTACTTTATACTCACTTGCATTGCGCTGGTTTTTGTTGGTAAATAGTTTCATTTCAGCACCTAAAAAACTTTAGCTCGGGCGCGATCTGATTTTATTTTATTTTTTTTTTCAGTATTTTCCCCTTCCTTTTCAACGGGTGCACTGGATTGAACGGCTGGTTAGTGGGTTAGTTATTTATTGATTTATGACGAAAATCAATTAATTCTTGTGTTATTATTTATGACCGCAAATTAAACTATTAACAGGTCGGTAGCGTTATTGTGATTGAATTTCCGATTAGGATCGGGTGAATTTGCATGGTAACCGCTGTCGATTAATTTGTTTTGCTTGTGGTTTAATAGGTTTTAATAGGTCGAGTGCTTGATTCCTGACGATTGTCCACCCGAGAGTCCCGCTCCGACGTGATCCGATCTGGGCCTTAGCTGATACTGTTGCCTGCCTCTGATTCTGATTTTGATTCTGATCGCTGGGCTAGAATCTCGCTGCTTTGTCTCGAATCGAACTGAACTGCCACGCACTTCCTATTCTCACAAATTTTGACAACTTAATGCGGCGATCTCGACTGCAGCTGGAACCTTTATATGGACTCTTGGGGCCGATCCCCGATCTCTCGACGATCAAGTGCCGAGTGTCTGGCGGAGATCGGATCGGCTAGCAGTTAGCAGTTAGCAGCTAGCAGATAGCTAGTACTAGCATCTCAACTCAACCTTTCTACAACCGGTCCACATTCAAGCCTCTGCTCGGGCTTGGCGCTCGGCTAAAACCGCGCACGTTCGCACTAGCTCGTTGGCCAAAACACAAAACACCGAGCAGCATTAAGTCACTTTCTGGACTGGGTCTGGGGCTGGGTCGGGGGCTATGAACCCCTCTTGGGGACTGCTAACACCCAACCCTCGAAAACCCCTGGGTTAGAACTCTCAACACAGGGGGCTCGGGTTATCCATTGTCTACGGAGATCGCTTAGCCCGCAATTGCCTTCTCATAAATTTAATGGCTCAAATGACTCTATTTAATCCAGCGGTCTGGTCTCTATCTTGGGCACAGCAGACACGCACACGTGCCCGTGCCCTTTTTGCGGCCTGCCATAAATATGCATGAAGTTTTTGCCGCAATTAAAAGCCATTTCTTGACGCAATTACTTCCAGTTCTGATTCTTAGCAGCCAATAACGATTAGCTATTAACTGGCTGTTCTGATAATTATCCGTCGGTTATTTAGCTCGATATTTATGACAGATCTATGAAGTGCACAGGCGATTGATACGATCACGGTGACTAAGGGTAGTTAGTAGGGGTAGGTAGTATAAATTCTATAGTGTGTGACCTATTTCGCTCCAAAGTTGTCTCCAAGACCCGGACAGTACATATCATCTTCACTTATACTTCCTGACAGACATTTGTCTGAGAAATGTCACTTAGTGTACTTTTATGACCGGCCATTGTTTGAGGTTGTACGGACTATGGGTGATATGATCCCGAATAGACAGACAATAAGCTCCCTCCTAACTACCAAATGGCATGTTAGTCGCAATTTTCCATTGGGCGGTTGTTGTTACCGGGCTAATTGTTGTTTGTGTTTATGGCAACGCGGTCCACAATTATGGCATACGCGGGGCATCCCAAAGTCCCATTTTTCAATGTACGCTTTTTATGCTTTCTCTGAAAGTTTCAAGAGTTCTAGGTGGAGCCCCCAATAAAAGCTCTTTTCTAGGACGTAATGAGTCCTGGATTGTCTGGAAAGCAGTCCTTGGCCAAAGGATTGCATAATCAGTGCTTTTAACATATCTATTGACCTATTATATATTTAAAGTATAACCGTCTAGGCATCCCACAATCATAAATTGAAAACCGAATAGCCCATAAACAAATAATAAAAAGGAAACCAGTTTCTTATTCAACCTCATAAATACATACACCAACCGCACAAAATAGGTGTGAAGAAATCTTCTTGAAACCATGTTTAAAAATAATTCTCTAAGGCATATAAAAATTTTATTACCAACAGGTGTATAAATTAATTA